CAACACATTTTCTTATAAAAGCAAACTTTAGACAAATCTCTGCTGCCAGTTTTCTTATAAATACTGAGTTGTTTTTGTCTTGGTTTTCATCCAGAGGAAATGAGAAGTGAAAGACGAAGAGAAGACTTGCAACAAATGTCCAAAGAAACCTGGATGTCTTTTACTTTGATTCTGGATATTTTTACTTATCAAAAACATGGAATAAAGAATATATGTTCCAACATTGCAGTTGAATCTTCATTTTAAGGTTGTTTCACTCCATTTTCAAAAAGTGCAAGGAAATACAAATCTACTCTTTTCACGTAAACTCTGTACATAAAATAAATCAGAAGTGCAAGTAGTTAAATTTCTATTTCTGCATTGATCTCTGGCATTGTTCCAGATTTTGTTCTGGATTTTGTTCCAAAAATAAAATCTGTACTTGGTTTTTTGATTTGTTATTTGCCAGATTTTTCTGTTTTGCGTTTCTAAGACTGAGATGATTGCAGAGTCCATTGTGTTCGTCTTCCAAAATTATTTTGATACTCACATAAGCAAAGTTTTCTTTTAAACCAATGTAAAGATTTTTAAGATTTGAGTATATAGACGACAAAAACAAAGAAATGATACGCCTGTTGCTAAGTCGTATCATAGCAACAGACAGGATTTCCTGGATGAGTTGGTGGGATTTAGTGTGAGGAAAGATGGCGGGATCTGCTCATCTTTTGCATTCCTGAGTTTACAGCGACGTTACTTCTGAAAACAAAAGAGCCTCGTTCAAATAAACTGAGACCGAAAGGTTAGGATTTAAAAAAACAACAACAATCCCTCTCATTGGGGATGATCTTTGTTTCCCTGCCTGCTGACTGGGAGCTTCTGTTTTGTTTTGTCACTTCGACACAAAACAAAACAGATGTTTTGGTTTTTATGCTGAATGCAACCCAGGGCCAGTAAATCAGTCGTCTTTGTTTTCTAACATTTGCTTCCTCCTGAACATGTTTCCTTCATATAAAAAGTGGGATTCGGCAGCAAAATCCAAAAGTTTGAGGTCAGAATGAGGGCAAGGAGATTCAGCAGCAGCATTTCTTCAGATGTCAGCAGTGAGTGCAGATGCCATCCCAACCGAGAGCGCGAGCAAAGTGTGAGTCAGTGGCTGGTATACGGCTCCCAGGGGCCCGGTACACTTCTTCACAGTCAGTTTGAAACCAAACACATAATGAAGCAGGCCCCTGGTGAATTCGCCTGCACTCCTGGACACACACACACACACACACACACACACACACTCTTCTTACTGACGCCGTGTTTCCTGAGTGAGTTTATGCTAAACCAGTAAAAGCAAACCACCGTTACTACAGTGAAAACACAAGCGATCATTCAGGACGATTAATAATATATTCCACTGTAAACATCACAAAGTGCCAAACAGGCAACTTCATCTGGAGCAGGTTTGGGGTCAAGCAGAAAGACAAACATGATTTTGTGAAACCCAGAGTTGACTGAATTCCTTGGTTTGGTTCGTCTGTTATTTATTCCAAAAATAATCCAGGTTGACAGTCTTTTCCAAATTAAACTTATGGAGGTAATTTATGACATTATCTGTATCACTTCAGGTTTATAGATTTATCTTACATGATTCAGCATATGGCAAATATGAAAACAATATTCTAAAATGAAAGATGACAAAATACCCTTTTTTAAAACTTTTGGAAGTAACTTTACTATTTTGTTGTGTAATGATTGTTTTGCTGCTTCGTTCGTATTTGGCCTTCAACATATTAATTTAACACTTTCCACATTCGAATGATTGATAAATGTGAGAAATGATCAGGAAACCTGAATAAATTTTAAATGTCTTTCTGCTCTGTTTCATAAACAAAAGATCTCATTGACCAACTTCCAGATTTACTGAGATTTATGTGCAAAATATTGTGCCTTATTTTGCAAAGCCAAATTGCAGACAACTACTCAAATTACACTTTAAAAAAAATAAACTTACAGGCTGTAGATCGGAAGAATCCAGTGAGAAACTAAGAAAAATCTGCAGCGACGTTATGAAGGCTGAGTAGAGAAGTGAAGCAGGTGAACTCATCAGGGGGAACGCGGCACAGCTGTGGTACAGAAAAGACAGGAAAACCAAACTTACAATAAACTAAAAGAAAAATATAAAAAATACAGGAAATAGAACATAAGAATAACTAATAAGGCAAGACCTTAAAAACCGCAAAAAATGCAGAAAAAATTCTAGAATATAGCAAGATATGTGGAACATAAAAAAAAACACACATCTCTAGTATCTAAAAAAAACCTGTTGCATATTTTATGGAACACTGTAAAACTTACAGTTGTGCTTATTGACATTATTTTATTATGCTGGTTATGATCGACAAAATATGAATATTTCCAAAATAAAGATGTTTTTGTTGACTAAATCCATACTGAAAACTATTGGTGCAAATGTTGATTCAAAACAAAATGTCATGATTTGAAAAACGTTTAAGACTGAAAGTTTTATTGTCAAATTATACAGAGAAAATTATATAAAACAAGAAACATTTTCATAGTTAACATCAATTCACTTGAAGTAAATACCTTTAATATCCAAATTATATATAAGTTACACATTTAAACCACTTTTTCAAGCAGCGTCATGAAGTAATGAGGCTTTTCTAATGGAAACAATCTACTGCTTAGCTAAAGAGCTATTTCAGGTTTAGCTCTTTAGCTAAACCTGAAATAAACAGGTTTAGCTAAAGAGCTCGTTAATAATCCCATTCACATCACTTTCCACTTATATTAATCCAGCTTCTAATATCGATTTGATTAAAAACAAGTTGCAGCATCGCCGCTCTTTAATGCTCCACCTGCGGCTTCGCCTCACCACCTGAAATCACACCAGGGATCCAGGGGCCTCTGCTGAAACGCAGCATACCTCAGCTCCCCTGTGTTTCCGGCTCCGCTTCATCGCAGCACCTGATAAGACGTTGGGAAGGTAGGGGAGCGTCGGCTGGCCAGGATTTCTTCAGCCTCCTTATCAGAAATCCTGCCATTCCCAGGAAATCATTGGTGGGAAAGTAAAACTCAATTAAAACGGCGGTGGGAAATGGCTCCAGTTGGACCTGCTGGGTTTGAGTGACGATGGAAAACAACAGATAAAGATTTATCAGTGAAAAACAGCTGGACTTTTTTCAAAAGTTTGTTACATAACAGCCACAAACACTGTTGTAGTTTATGTAATATTCAAAAGCAACACAATAAATAATTGTGAAGGTAAAAGGATATTTTAACTTGCATTTTATTTGCAGCTCTCATCATTTTAACACTAAATAAAGGCTGGTGCTACCAACAGTGTTCACAAGTTAGCTAAATAATTAGTAGTGCAGAAACGATTAATCAGATGAATCATGATGAATCGATTATTGAAATAAATGTTTACTAATTGAGTAATTGATTAATCAGTGACTGGAGTATACAGATTTTAAAAAAGGGCCTTTTGCCAAAAGACTAACATAATCAGAGCCGTGATGAAGCCAAAACTGTACAAAATATACACAGTTTGAATTTAAGATAAAAAAAACACCCTTTGTCTGCACATATGTTCTAAAATCAAAAGGTTTGATGCCATATTTATGCTAAATACATGTAATAATTACTGAATGGTGAATAAAAAAGTAAAAACCTTTTCAAAGTTGACCTTTCTTGATATTTTGTTTCACCCAGAAGACCATACTGTTTGGGCGAACATTGAACGGAAAGGTTTTCACAATGTTTTGTGAAACTTGTGGTTGTCGCATGTTAAAACGTGAAACTTGAAGGACATAAACGTAGCATCGGCTCTCTCCCTGCCCAGCAGCTTTGTCTGCTCCCCTCTCCAGCTGTTTTGATGTTTCTGTGGAAAAGCGTGTTGATTCCTGGAAGCAGTGAGGCCGCCTGCTCTCACTCAGGCTGTGTAATTGGCTCCCCTCCTCTCAGAGGCATCCCGCTCCCTGACTAATGCGTCCCACCTCTGCCCACCCATCTATCCGCCTGTTCATCCGTCCAACCCTTCCGCGGCTTCGCCCTCCGGCACCACAAGCCGCCGCTGCTATTACACACGCCACATTAGCCGCGTATGAATAACAGGCCTGCAACAATGACCTGCGCCCATTTCTCGATTTGCGGCGGCTAATGATGACCTGCTATGAGTGCATCAGAAGCTGTGCTATCATCCAGCGTAAGTCCAGATGATTAAGTGCGGTGTTAGTGAAGGAGGGGTAAGAGACGCTGGCCAGGCAGTGGCTCAGGGGCAGATGTTAATGACCTCACACTGTTTGTGGTTACATGTCATAAATCATCTCCCTGCATGCAGCTCTACATCTGGATGCTCACTCTGGGGCTTTATTCCCACACAGGCTGACAGTATTTTCCAAATAAGAGAAGGGTAATGGCATGTTCTCCTAAAAAAAATGAAGATATCACGTCAAAGGCTCTCACTGCGGCTCAGATCAGGGATTATTTTTGGCTTCCTCCACCTCTCTCTTCTATATGCTCCACCATCCACCATAAAAACGCAGATATGTCGTGATGCCTCCCTCTCCCTGGAAGACTTGAAGCATGAGAAATATGCCTGACAGCTGCGGAGGGGAAAACATATGCAGCCGATAAGCTCGAGTTAAAACAACCGTCAGATGGAGGTGATCAGAGAAAACCTCGACCAGGAGAGACACGTTCCAGTTCTGACGAGCCTCAGGTCTCATTAACTCGGCTCAAACCCAAACGTGCATGAGTTAGAAATGCCACATGGGTACGGTTTGTCCACTGCATCAGTCTTATCCACATTTCTACAAATAAATATTAAAATAGTCATGAGCCCTGAAAAATAAAGAAGAAAACAGATTCTAGTTGCTTTGGACATATTCCACATGGAGGTAATAATGCTTCATTGTATGATGGGAAATGCTGCCATCTAGTGGATATTTTGAATTTATTTTTATTTGTTTGCAGGATGCATTCACTATTTGCTGTTTCATACGCAAAATGAGGTGAAAAGCAAAAGCATTGTTTTATTTTCTGAACGCTTCGACATGTTTCCATAACAACATACAATATAAATCAGAAATTTGGTACATTTCCATAAATCTGCCATTTGTTTCCTGCAAGAAGCTGCATACAGTCCAGGATTAATGTAAAAATGTTTAATGCTAATTTAACAAAGTAAACCATTTAATTAGCAAAGACAAATCACTTGACATTTCTGTTTTATTCTCGATCACAATAAAAAGACAGCATTAAAAAAAGATTGTTCTTGTTTGAAAATTCATAAATTTCATTAAGTGATATATTTGAGCAACATGTTAAAATTTTGACGTCAAATTTTAACTTGCAAAACACATTTCGGTAAATAGTAAATGCTAATATTGATATTTATAATTTTAGTTTAATTTCTCTAGTTGGTATAAAACAGAAATGACCGCAGTGTAAAACGTCAGCTGTTGGAAAAGCGGCACTTCCGCATGCAGCCGCTTGGTGGCGCTCACTTAACACGAACATCAGCGGAGTTACATCCGGGTTCTGTTCTGGATACATTTCACCTTTTTATCCTGTAAGTGGATAAATGACTCGGAGTTACGTTCTTCACCAAATAACTCATGTAAATATGAAATAATAATAATAATAATATATATTTTTTTTAAATCTGCATCAGAACCAAAACGGTTTGATCTCTTCAGCAGAAAACTAGTGACTGATATTCAAACCTATGACAAAATACCATAGATAAAAAGTTGGCTTGTGATTCCCATTAAATTGTTGTTTTTTTAACTGTTTCATTGTGGAAAGGCAACAATGAGGATCTTAAAAGAAAATGCAAACGTTTGAGCAGCAATTTACATTTTTTTACAGATTTTTAATACTTCCCACAGGGTCAAAATTATACATACAGACTGGAAAATATTTGATTTGACGCAACTTGACTTGCATGCTTTTGTTTGTCAGAAACAACTTCTGGAGTAATTCTGGTTGAAGATTAAACTTTGAGGACTTCCTGGTGCAGGTCTTTATATTTCTATAAGGTAAATCCTGAATTAAATGTTTTCCTTTCCGTTTTTCTTCACTGGGTTTGCCACAGCTTAGAGGGTCTACTCTTGAAAAAAGAAACCTGAAAATTGTTGCAAAAGCATAAAACAAATAAAAGTGAAAGCAAAAGCAAAACTAATTCCATGAAGGAGAGAAAACCACTCAACAGATCCATAACTACCCTCCATCAACTCTGAAATAAGTAATCCACAAAAACCTTATTACACGAAATCTCTTTCCCGCCATTAAGTGGGGAAAAATTGGGCCCTTTGAAGCAAGCATTCATCAGACGTTTCTTCGTTTCCTTAAATGAGCAATCAAGGATATTGATGCGCTGAGAATCTGTTCGCTTTTTATGTAAAATAGCTTTTGGGAGTCGTTTAAATGAGCTGAGGAATCGTTTCTAGACAGAGAAAAACACCGAAAGTTATTTGAAGACATCAAACAGGCAGGGCAAAGGTCAAACTGCTGCAGCCATTAAAGTTAAAATATTCGACTTTAGTGTTTTAGAAATGTCCTCGTTTCTTCTTGGACATTTCTGAGATTTTTGGCAGAAATTTCTTTCTTCTTTTTCCATCCCCATTGTCCCTGATTAGCTGTTGTGTTAAACTAACAGAACCACAAAGTCTAGCAGCTGCAGCTCAGTCTTCCTCAGGACGGTGTGAGGTCTCGTTGAACAGCTCGGACCAGTTGCACCAGTGTCTCCATCCACAGCTCCTTCTGGTGCTGGTTGCTGATCTGACCGAGGATCTGTGAGCTGTAGACTAAAGTCAGCACCGTTCTCTCGAAGTCCTGCCAGCCGAGCGGGCGCCGCCGCTGGGCCAGCTTCGCCATCAGGCGGCGGATGTCGGAGAGCTTCTTCGGCAGCACGTCCTCGCAGATGACTTCCAGTGTTTTCACGCTTCTCAGGGAGGCCAGCTCCTCGTCTGGGATCAGCAGGGGGCGCTCTTCGCCTTGGATCTGCATTCCGGCGAGAAGAACCTGCAAAGAAAGGGACGAAAGTTCAGGAAGTGCTCGAATAGTCACATATTTCAGAATGTCGACTAAGATCCAAACTGACCTCAAACAGCAGCTTGGCGTCCTCCTCTGAGTGCAGGAAGGTGGGATTGATCAGGGAGTACGCCCCTCGCTTAATCAAGAACGCAGACGGATACAGAGCTGGACGACAGGGAATTCAATTAGACAAGCTGGGCTGTGTTTAAGAAATTTAGCAGCACATTATTTAACGAGGCGCGGGCGGACCGCAGGTCGAGTAAACACAGATTCATTACAGTTTGAATATGAAGCGGGTGGCAGAGGCTCTGGCTCCAGCTGAGAGGAGGGTAATTGGTCTTCGACCCGAGACGCGGATGCTGCTGCACGAGTGGCACTATCGTTGGTGCTTCCAGAGAAAATAATATCTGCTTTGGATCCAGTAATCTGATGTAGGTGGAATTAAACACCTGCTGCCTCATTTGCTGCAGAAACAACCAGAAATGGGTTCAAATCTGAAATTTGGACATATTCCCAGGACACAGGATCCATGATCTGACAACTCAGAGCAGAATAAATATGCACAATATTCAGCATGGATGTAAATGTCTTTTTGTTGCATTTTATCGATGTAACTTTTAAAGTGATGGTTTTCTTTTAACCTTTCGTCCGTAACACCTCAGGGCTGCTGGAGCTGAAATTCCTGCTTTAATTTATGACTAAATGGGAAGATTCAGTGGGCATCCCAATGGCAATTTAATATAATGACACTATTGGCATTTGAAGTGGCTTCTGGCAAGAATCACTTTAACTGTGGAAGTATATAATGTCAAATCAAAGGAAGCTCTTAGTAACCAAAACGGGAAGATGAAGTTGTGAAACGAGGCACTTCAGGGCGCCAGTTAGCAACAAGACAGATGATGCAAAGAGGGAAACTGGAAAAACATAAGATTCAATTTATACTGAAAAAAAAAATACAAAACGTTTTTTTTACTTATTTCCTGACTGAATCGTGTGACCTGCTCTGCAGATTATGTCCAGACACAAATAAAGCGTCGACGCTCAAAGCAACTTATGAAAGCAAGTTAACTAGATCCACACCGAGGTATCAAAGAGTCGTATCAAAATAAAACAAAACAAGTCAAAGACTTCATCAAACCTGATTACCATCCTGAAAAATGGATGTTTTAATGTTGATAAATAAGCTGAATGGGATGTAATATTGATAAAATGAGTTGTTTTTACAGAACAATGTGCGGAGGAGTCTCACAACGTTAAGACCAAAATATTCAGTTTATTGCAACATGTTCACCTTTAAGTGTCATTTTCTGGTGATGAGTCTCATTTCTGCATTTGAGAAAAATACTTTGAAATCATGAATGCCACCCTTCATCCTTCTGTTGCTTTCTAACCAATCAAACTTCAATAAAATGTTCTGGATATTCTGCCGTTATAATCCACTGCGTCATGTTTTCTCCGGTCTCTCACTCTGCATATTTGTTTTAAAAAAACACACAAATATTAATGAGGCACCATAAAAAGCATTGGGTCTCATCTGAACTTGGACCTGGCTCTTCTACAACACCGCATCGGCTGGTAAATCCGCCATGTTTGCTCTGCGGTTGTGCCAGACAGACGCGTTCAGCTCCAGTTTACAGTTATGGGGTCAGCCAAATCCTGGTGTAGCGGCTGATCTCCAAGCGGACCCGTCTTCAGCTTGGTTCAGTTCCAGTCGGTGCTCTGGCTTTGCTTTAACAGATAAAACATGCAGGATGTGCAGAACGTCTTTCTCCCTGTGTACCGGCGTCACGATGATAATTGTCCAAATCATGGCCCATTATGTGTAATCCACAGTTTATCTGAAAGCTCTCAGCGAAACCATAAGCAGGATGTTCAGACCACTCAGGTAGAGTCCATTTACAAAATACTATAAATTATGAGTAGGCCAATATGTAACTTATGGATTTTCTTGTTTGATATGAGATTAGTTATGTTTTTCCTCCAGAAATTAAGCGATAAAGGTGCAAAGACATGTAGTTCTGTATTAAAATACCGCTGTTTCATTTATTAAATTGAACTATTTTTGAATCCAAACACTTTATTCACATGTTTGTTACAACTCTGAACAAGATGATGATGAGAAACCAAAACTGTCTCCATCAAAACACAAAGTTTCTATGCTACACCTGATACTCAATCATCAGTCTCAGAGTATTATGAGCCTGGCGGGCCACCAGGCTTTACTTGTGCCCCCACCAGGCTTGGCATTGTTAATTAATCTAAGTTCTTTTTTTTTAATTATTGCCATTTTTAAGACTTCATAGTTGGTGTTTAGGCATAAATCTTCCAGTCTTCCAATAATGCATAACTATCAAGTGATATTTTCACATTTCCTGTCAACTTTAAACATTTTTTAACTTAAAAACACGGCGGGCGGCTGGATGACTGCCCTAGCGTTCCGAGCACCAGGCTTAGCAAGTTTTCTGGGGGAAACCCTGCTGAATATATCACTAAGAAAAAACAAGGAAAATGTATAATAAGCTCATTATTCTCTGGACTGTTATTGGTCACCACCACACCTAATTATGCCACATGGTAAATATATCTTTAGGCTCACATTCATAACTTTATCTTGACGAAAACAGAAAGACAAACTGTACTGACCCCATAACCCAGATGTAAAAGGTAATAACCACCAGTGTAGGAAATGACTTGAAATGCAGAACAAGGCAGCAGCTCTGGTACTGAAACTTCCCGACCTTCAAGCCTCAGCATGCGTCCTCGCCCCCACAGACACAGCCAGAAAAATAAAAAAATAAAGCTCTGGCCGTCGTGCATCATCCAACGGTGCAGCAGCTCATGCATCAGGACGGATTCTCCATGATTCTTTTAAATGAAGACAAAAAGCCTCTCCAGTTCTGCCTTTGAACCTCCACATCTTCTAAATATAGAGAACAGAAAGCAGACGAGAACCAGCAGCAGCAGCAGCAGCCAGAGGTCAAAAGGTCATCAGCGTAGTATTACACCAACATCCTGCCGCCTAATGAAGCAACAGATGCCTGACAGAGTGCTAAAGAGCTACACTGGGGAGAATAATTGCTTTATTCTTCTCTGATTTTTCAGCTTTCCCCACTTAAAAAGAATAGAGAGATATATAGTTTTATTATAGGTTCACATAATGAGTGACTATAAAATAAAAAGCGACCCAAGTTTAATTTTTCAATGTGGCAAAGTAAATGTTAAGAAGAGAGATAAAACACCACAGATTAGTGTCTGGTTAACAGCACAACCAGGGAAACATGTTTTACAGTCTCCAAGTTCATCATTAAATATAAACATTTTGGTATTAATGTAATCCCATACAGTGTCTACCTAAGCTGCTGGATGAATGTAGAATAAAAACTGCAGCTTTACGCCTCAGCGGACGGTTAATAGTGAGAAAACACTGCTGTTCATGGAATCGCTGCTTATTTTTACATTCTGCCAGAAAAAAACAACAAAAACAAAAACAAAAAAAAACAAAAACAAAGGTTGATGCTTACATACAGCTAAAATAATCTACAAAAATCTATTTTAATGGAAAGCTAGAAAGCTCAGAGGTTTGGCGTTTATAGAGGGAGGAGTGATTACTGAGACAAGGACCAGGTGAGTTTAATTAGGTGAATGTGCAGCAGCTGAAGAAGGCTGACATGGAAAACAACCACAAACAATAAAGAAAAAACAAGTGAGCGCTAAAAAAAAAAGCTGAGAAAGTAAATAAAAACAGGAGTAACTCACATCACTGAACTCAAAGGAAATGAAATTCAGAAGCTCAATGTTCCTGAGGATTTAGACATAAAAATATAACATCTCAGTGCGACTGCAGCACAGATAGAGAAGCCCAAACTCAGCTGCAGCTTTACATCAGCAGCTGCAGAGTAAACATACATTTTTTTATGATGCAAACCAAAATGATATTGGTTGTTGCCCGGGGCAACAACCTGGGAGGTAAAAGATTACTGCTTATCCAGAGCAGAGATGAGATCTCAAAAAGACTGGAGTGAGCTGCATTTTTTTTATTTCTATTTCATACAACTAAATCATAATAAATCGTAAAGAAAAACAGCAGAACTGAATATAGCAGCAAGAAGATTCCAGGTTTGAGTTTTCTGGTCTGAGTTTGCATGTTTACCCTGTGCAGGGGTGGGTTTCTCTGGGTACTCCAATTTCCTCTGGTCTCTCTAAATTGCAATTAGTGACGAATGACACTGCCTCCCGTTTTTGTTTCTACAACCTTTAAAATGCTCTACAAATACAAAAATATAGCATCTTTACCATGCTAAATGAGGAAACTGGCACATTTAAGTCCTTGCTGTTCGTCTGGCTGTCCTCAGAATAAATTTCAGCCCAGATGTCTCATCACATCGACTCGGCTGCCTTCTTGTTTCTTTTGTTTTGGTTTCCTTCTGTCCTCCAGTTCACCACACAATCAATGTTTGCATGTGCAGACTTCCCCTGTATGTCATTATGTGGAGGCAGGGAGCTTGTAATCTCCTGCTAACTGCTTGCAAGGAGATGAGAGAACAACAATGATGCATTAATTAGCCGGGCTAAACAGAGCTCTTGGCTACTGGGATGTTTTTTTTGTTGTTTTTTTTCCCCTTTTGACAAGACAAAAGAAAATTAAAACACACATGAATGGATAAAAAAAAAGAAAAAGAAGTCCAGATCTCTCTCGGTGCATTAGAGAAAGGTGAAAAGGACAGAGAGGAGAATGAAATGCTGGCAGCAGCAGCAGCTCATCTTCTGCATTTCAATTCACCTCCAGATGAGTGTTAAAATCCTGTCAAGTGGCGACATTCTTGTGACTTGTTTTCAGAGCAAACACAGGCTGCAGCATCAATACTCCCAGTGAGTTCAGTCTGTAAAGAGACTGAGCTGCAATAAAGTCACGCCGAATTACAGGGAGAACCGACACCGAGGGACGACCGAGAAACTTAAAAACGTTTGGTTTTAAGTTTGTTTTCTCAAAACTTGGCGGAGACTCATCGATGTTTCTGGTGCTACAAAGCAGAACTGCCTCAAATTTTAGTTTTTTTGTGGTTTAAAATGCAAAGAAATATCAACAGGAGAGCAGAAATGCAGAATAAAAAACATGAGAAGATATAGAAGAAGGGATCCAGAAAGTTTTCAGAAAGCGATGAATGGGGAGCAGGACGACACAACGGTGACGTTACGTGACTTAAATACACATTTATGTATGTGTAGTATATTATTTAGGATTCAAACAGCCAGAGATTAGAATCAGTGGGTCAAAGGTCAAGCTAAGAACATGCAGCTTTCAGTCTTTAAATGCATCAACATGCACAAAAACAGAACAGAATAGTGTTTTATTAATCCCACAGAGGAGAAATTCAGTTGTTGCAGCAGCACATTAACAAAATATACCAATCTGAATATAAAAATATCTTAATACCTCCATTATGAACAACTGTATATTAATGAAGTACCTACAGATAAAATGAAAAATTAGTAAAAATATTCACTGAATTTGTTTCATTTGTGAATAAACCAAGCTCTAAGAGTAAAATCAGGTGGTAACTATGGAAACACAACAGTCAAACTTATTTGCACTTTTTATAAAGAAAACTTAAAAATTATAAGTCATCATAGTAATTAAAACAGCTATGTTTTTGTAAAACTGGAGAAGCTTTTTCCTTAAAATAAGTTGTAGAGAGTTTTATCTTTGTAGAAAAAGATGTAAAATATTGAAAGTAAAACTGATATTTTATCAGCGGTGTTGAGCGATGTGAGTGTTAGGACAGGAATTTCCTGAGCGTCTGAATCCAGGAACAACAAGCCAGTCATTTTTCTCTGGAAACTCAGAGCCGAGTGTCAAATGTTCCTAATTACTCCAGAAGATAAACACATTCTTTCACAGCAGCACATCCGAGACCAAGTTATCATTATTTATGACTTATTTGTACTATATGCGTGTAGCTTTTGAAAACAATTCCAGTTCCGCACCAGAAATTAATTTTCAAAGCTAAAGTTCAATAACAGCAGTGAAATGTGTTAGACGGCAGGATTTATGAGTTCTTAGTTTTTAAAGGAGCGTGGTCCTACCTTTCCTGTGGTGCCGAGCGGCCGCCTGCAGGCTGGACAGGTAGACGACGGCGAGCAGAGCCCACCACCTCCGCGCCATGCTGATGATCCTCAAACACAAATCAACACACACACTTTGCTTGTCAAACTCGCTGCAATCATGACAAAAATAACTCCTTCAGTTTTATTGTGCAGGATTTTATATTTCCTCCTCCCTCTGTCAAATCTCCCTCCTTGATTTTGAGCGTGTGTGTGTGTGTGTGAGAGAGAGTGTGTGTGTGTTCCCCGTTAAGGCCAGACTGTCTGGTTCCCATCTGGAAATCATCGGTATTTGGGAGAGCTCTTGCCCTCCTGGCTGAACTTTTCCCTCAGTCTTCACTCACTGGGCGACTTTTCTGTTTTTTCTCTCTGAACGCTTCATCGCATGAGTGATGAAGCTGACTGATAATAATAATAATAATAATAATAATAATAATAATAAATCAGAACAGTCTTCACCTGGGGGCACAAACCTTAATCAAGCTGATCAAATTGGATTAACTGAAAATAAACCAACAGATTATTGACCGTTCCAACTGAATCATAGATTGCTCTTAATATCTTTTTTTTTATTAATGTCGCGAAATCACACCTTTTTTCTATTAAAACCTGTAGGTTCTCTTAAGGATATAAAATGCTTTAAAAAGTGTTACAATGCCTGCAACAGACCACAAAGTACTTTACATGTCAGTCAATCGTTCAACCATTCGACCTGAAGAGGGCAGAACTGAGACCATTTTGGATCAAATATTGCAGAATTTAAAGAAAATTACACAAAAGGTCACAACTTGCACAGAAACACAATTTAGCAACCTTATGAAACAATTAATATAGCTTTTATTAAAGAAATAAGTTGATTTGTGGTTTAGTTACACTTTCCTTAAATATTTTTCTCCAAGCTACAACCATATTTCTGTAAATTTATGATGAGACAAACAACAACATCCAGACAGACTGAAGAAACAGAAACCTTTAAATCAAAGTGAGGACCATTTAAAGCATCTCGATTAAAGGCTGTCCGCTTCCTCCTCTCGTGTTCTTTGTTACTGAATATGTGCGATAAATACTTGGTTTTCTTCTGGTGCCAAAGCAGAAATAATAACCACTGCAGGTTGATTTCAGCTCTCCTAGCTGATATTTCAAGGCTGCAGCCTTTTAAAATGAAACAAGGAAAAATTACTGATGGGTTTAAGAACAACAAAAAAGTAAAAGTGAGGAACCAATGTCAGAAAATCAGGTTTAAAGACAGAGAGATAAATATACAAACCTATTTAATAGTTGTTTCAAGAACTTTATAACTATGCGAAAGACATTTTGTAGATTAATCCCAGAGATGGATGGTTGAAAACCATTTTTTCCTGTTAATTCTGATAATTTTCCATTTCAGACCAAATAAAAACCACCTAATGTACTTTTAATCTGACTAATTAAACTAATTGGGATGCATATTCTAATTTATTGAATATGACTGTATATTAGAAAGTGCTATATTAATATGAAATTTGCTAGAAAGCGCTCCAGAAAGTTGCAGAGTCCACACAGTCTTTATAAGGAAGATCCTGGATTACCAGATATTTGATCACTCTTATAAGAACTGATCAGTTACTGGCATTGATCCATCATTTTAGCAAAGTCTACAAACATTGAACAGAATTCAAGTTGATGCCACTTATGTAGATCTTTCAGTTGATTTGAGATGAAGTAAGAAAACTTGAAGGCGGTCTATCGTACGCCATACTCAGACCTGAACCTTCAGAGTCACATAAAGACGGTTATAAAGTCAGCCTTCGACACCCTGAAGAGCATTTCAGTGCTGCAGCTGAAACACAGAGTTCCTTTAAATCAAGACTACAAACTAACCTACTTATAGTTGCTTTTGAATCACAATTAATGAAACGTAATTAATGAAACATTTGCCAACATATTTGATGTGTATTGATGATTTTAAAGACGAAGAAACTTTACCATCAACATGGTGAAGTTTCGTTAGTTTTCTGTTTATATGATGTAAAACACTTTGTGCCATACAGATAAACTTCATTGATTGATTGGTACCACTGGTACAGATAAATACTTATCTTCATTGTGTCCATCTACGTCTAAAAACCAGAATTATGCCAGTTAATTGCCACAGAAATGGTGATTCCTTTGCTTCTTGGTGAGGGAGGTTTTCCTCCAGTTCTTGTTTTTCAAAATCTTATTGTTATACAGTGAAAAAAAGAAAGTTTCAAATAGGTCAAAAGTCAAAATTAATACTTTAAGTTGTCAGTGTTGGTATTTAAAACTAACTGAATTGGGCATATCTACAAAAGTGAATTTAAAGGTTTTCTTCGCGTTTCATTTTCCAGTATGCACCTTGTTTTTCTTGGACTCTACAAAAATAGAAACACATTCAGGTGAAATCTGGAGGAGAGGAGCAGCTCAGAGTGGCAAGCTGGAGCTTTGGTCTGCTTGTGCTTCACATGAGCAACACATAAGGAGAAGGCAGATGGCAGGGCGAAAAAAGTCCTCCCTGCAGCTCATTCCCTTCGCATTTGCCTCAAGGTACCCTGATTCAACGAATGAGAGACAAGAAAAGTTATGCAGAACAATACATTTGTGTCTGTTTTTCCACAAAAAAAATGCACACTGCATAAATATAACCTCTGTTTTCTCATGTCCCTCTGACCATGAGGGGGCAGTGTTACGTCACCGATCCACTGCGATCCAAAACTACCCCAACTTGTCCAAGATCCTGCACTGATTGCTCTCCCTGACTGCGTTGCTGCTGCTTGGACTCAAAAATAATTGAATTCTATTCAGATAAGGTCTGGCAATATGAATGCAGCTACTTAACAGAGATCAGAGGGTTTGTTTGGGTTCAAACCAGGTGGGAACCCTCGAGACATCCGTTAGTTTAATTGCTTCTGTGCTTTAAATTACCGGAATGCCTCCAATATGCAAATTCTTACAGGACCACCGTGAATCCAGACTTGCATGAGATTTGATTTGATAGTTGAATCACATCGAAAAGTCTGCAGCTGCAGTTTTATTCTTCAGTGTAAAACTGAAGAAAAAATAACGGGGTTCATGTCTCGACAATACATTGTAGCATTTCGATGTGAAAATCAGAAGTTACTGAATGATTTCTTTAAAAGACAAGAAAAACACAGATTGAAGCACAAACGTTCATGTGACAACATCCCTAAAATAAGATGTGAACGTTTCATTTATATTTTCTTCCAAAACTATCTGTACTCCTTGATCTCTATCACCGTTAAACATTTGTAGACATTTTAGGTTTCTGCAAGTTTTACTCATCTAGAGATTGAAATTTCTGTGCAAATAACTCAAGTTCATCTGTGATCAAAGTCTTGTCTTCATTTTCATGATGAATCGGCGCAAAACTTTTCTGATATGTTGAAAAAAAAATTTTTTTGCAATAGCAGTGTTTTCATTAAATAAGAAAGGTAATTAAAATCAAACATGAATAAGTTTGCTCATGTGATAAGTGGATAAAAACACACCATCGTCCTCCTGCCACTTCCTGTCGTCTTCTTTTTCATGGTGTGAGCCAGTCGCAACACCTGGATGCTGACTCAAAAAAAGTGCAAAAAAGTTGTTTTCCATTGTAGTTTTGCAAAAATAAACCAATTTTAATATAGCCCAAAAAAACACCTCATCCTAGCACTAAAGCTTTTTGTCGAAAAATTTAGTTTTTTTCAAAATTGGTGTGTTTCCATTAAGCAAATTTATTTTCGTAACTCCAATTTGTGCAATTATACGGTCAATGGAAACTCAGCTATCGACTTGCATCCTAATATAATCCAATATAATTTGTTCTGAACGAACCCATGTATCTCTGCCTCTAAGTTCCTGGAAAGTGAATCTCCTCCTTAGTCTCAGTCGTTTACAGCCTCTAGTATGTTATAACTTTGGTCTTCAAGATGTTGTTTGTTCAGTAATTTCTTGGATCAGACCACTTAAACCTTCACAGTACAGCTGGATTTATTCTCAGATTAAATTACCCAAAGGGTTAAACATAACAGCAAAGACATTTCTTGATATGAAGAAATGTTTTTTTTGGGAGTTTGAAGACCATGGAGGGGAAAAATCTGCATCTACCTGCCACACGAACAAACAAGTCAGCGTAACACTGAGTGGGAGTTTCAGTCACAGCAGTTGATCATCACATCCTCAAGCAGAAGAAAAGTCTCAATTGTTCATTAACTCCTCTGCACAGAGCCTCATCAAGGCTAATCTGAATAGGGGCACAGTCAGAGCTCTGGGTGTGCGTCTGCTCCCTGGTGGGCGTCGGGTGTCTGCCAACCCGCTTTGTTTCTGATATATACCACACGCTGCAGAGGAGACAGCCACTGTCTCATTAGGCTACACTTTATACTGTAAATTTCTTCTTATTTATTCATGCAAAATTCATAAACGTCACATTTTTTGTGTGCGTTAATGAGGCATTCGGAGCGTGAAATAAAGAAACGTTCCAACAATGATTTGGGTAAGAAGTCGGTGCATCTTAAACCTGCACTCTACAACTTTTCTAAACTTTTTTTTTTTAACTTATTTGTTAAAACTGTCAGATAATCTGTAAAGAAATCAAGCTCCTCCATGTTGTCCTACTGCAAAAATACACCGCTTGATCAAAAATAACCAATCAGAACCAGGAGGAGGGTCTTAGCGCTGTCAATCAGCTTATGTATGTGAGATTAGTTTACTTATGGGTGCTCCAACAAGACAGCGATCCAAAAGAAAACAGTAAAGCTCAGTGTCTTCAATATGCTCAAGAATTTTAAAGTATGAATCTATTCTAATCCATCGCCATGAATATAACTGAACTGTTTACAAACTTAAATGTTTCAGTTTGTACATGAAAAATTTTGGCTGTCTAGTCTGAAACACTCCCACCTCTTCGTTGCTCAACACCATCTAGAGTTTGTACATCTCGGCTGCTAACAAAAACGAAACGTTGCACTCTGACGAAGCTTCACCTTTCAACTTCTTCCTGTGAGCCGCTCTTCACAACGCTGACGCAAGAGCAGCTTAGGACTCAGGCTCTCTCTAGGCTGCTCATTTTACA